AGCTGCCCTCAGTACCCTCGGGGCACCAGAGAGTGTCCCCCCGCTGTCGGTCACTTCGGGGCTGCCCCCCCGTTGTTTGCCGACCCGAGGCTGGCCGGGGTTCACTGGGAGGCACCCAGAGAGATGGAGACAGCTGAGGAAAGATTTCCTCCCAAAAATCCCTGAGCATTTAACAAGGGAAATCAAAATGCAATTCTCTGCTCTGCTGCCCAAGTGAGCAATGCAGGGTTGCTGCATGGGGTGGTTCTCACCTCCAGAAAAAGAGAACAGGTGTACAAGAGTCCTCACCTTTACATTGGCACCTATATAGGTTTCTATATTTGGGGAAGAGAGCATTCAAGTGTTCAACGGAAACAACTATGAATCTTTGAGAATAAAGATATGTCCAAAATTCACCTTTTAGGCTCTCACCTAAAAACAGGGCAAGTTGATCCTCAGACAGAACTCATCACAGGGATGACAAGATGCTTTTGAGCATCAGTCAGCAGCATCTGGGTTAATGGGAAACTTGGGTCACACCAATCCCCTGCAGTGCTGCAGATGGGGCAGAGTGGCTGGAAAGCTGCCCAGGAGAAAAGGACCTGAGGGTGCTGGTCAACATCTGGCTGAACATAAGCCAGTAGGTGCCCATGTGGCCAAGAAAGCCAATGGCATCCTGGCTTGTATCAGCAATAGTGTGGCCAGCAGGACCAGGGAAGTGATTGTCCCTCTGTACTTGGCATTGGTGAGGCCGTACCTCAAATCCTGTGGCCAGTTCTTGGTCTCTCACTACAAGACAGACATTGAAGTGCTGGAGAGTGTCCAGAGAAGAGCAACAAAGCTGGAAAAGGGTCTAGAAAGTCCTATGAGGAGCTGTGGGAACATCACAAGCCTCCAGGCTTTGTCCTAGAAAGATCTACCATAGAGTTTTCCCCACCTAGGCTGAAAGCGAGGACTTCCCCCATGGTACCCTGCATCACTATTGCCAGTCTAAATTAGATTGCTTCCCCCATTGGCCAGTTGACCCTGCCCACCCCAGTTGTTCATCCCTCATCCTCCCTACAGGTTGCTGCCCTTTGCCCTGCCCTTTGCACTGCCCCTGTGTCCCCATCCCCATCCCCATCTCCTCACCCCTGTGTCCCCACCCCTGTGTCCCCAACCCTGTGTCCCCATCCCCATCTCCTCACCCCTGTGTCCCCATCCCTGTGTCCCCAATCCCCATCCCACGTCCCAGCCCATGTCCCCGTGTCCCCACCTGGGAACCACACTACCAGCCCCCTGTCCAGGCTCTCTCCCGTGCGGGGGTCCCGGATGCGCCGCAGGGCCATGACCCGGGGCGGGGGCGGCGCGGGGGTCCCGGCGAGGCTGCGCAGGGCGGCCCCGCTGCCCGGCCCGCTGGCCCGGATCACGGCCACGCCGCAGCGCCCCGGCGCCGAGGACAGCGCGAAGATGGTGTCACCTGTGCCCGCAGTGGCACCCGTGCCCCGGGTGGCACCTGTGCCTCTGGTGGCACCTGTGCCTCTGGTGGCACCTGTGCCCGTGGTGCCACCTGTGCCTCTGGTGCCATCTCTGCCTCTGGTGGCACCTGTGCCCGCTGCGGGTGGCACCCAGCTCAGCGCGCGTGCACACCTGGGGGGGATTGGGGGGGTTATGGGCACTCCCTGTCCCCTCTGTCCCTCTGCCCCCTCTGTCCCTCTGTCCCCCTCTGTCCCTCTGTCCCCCGCCCCTCTGTCCCCCTGTCCCCCTATCTCCCTGTCCCTCTGTCCCCTCTATCCCCTCTGTCCCCCTGTCCCCCTATCTCCCTGTCCCTCTGTCCCCTCTGTCCCCTCTGTCCCCTCCTGTTCCCCTGTGTCCCCTCTGTCCCCCTTTGTCCCCCTGTCCCCTCACCTGCCCCTCGCCGCCCTCACGGCCCCGCTCAGCGCCATCGCTGCCCTCCCCGCGCCCGCCTGGCCCCGCCCACCGCCGCACGCCACTGGCAAAACCCACCGAGAGGGTGTGGTCATCACGGGAATCCCGCTCCTGATTGGTTGCTGACCGGCTCAGTAGCCTCACGGGCCTCAGCGCCCCCGGCCATTATGGCACGCTATTGGTCAATACACATCGATAGGCGGGACTAACAGCTAAACTCGGCTTTTGATTGGTCAATTAGCAAAGATGGCGGCGCCCTGGGTGAAGCCACGCGAACCCCGCGGTTCCGCCCGGTCCCGGGCTGGTCCCGGTGGGAAACACGATTTCAATTGTTAGAAAATTTATATCTACTCCTACTGAAATAAAATCTGAACATTTACAAATGTTATTAAGGGAGAAAAGGGATAAAATCCAGAGCTGGGTTGTCTGGCTGTTTGTTTGATATTTCTATTTTTATATCTTTAATTAATTTGGTTTTATTCGTATTTATTGATATGAACATGCAGGTACTCCCTGTAATGGAGCAATCTGTAAAGAACATGGTTTAAATTAAAGAAATATAAAAATAAAAATAAAAATAAAATAAAAATAAAAATAAAAATAAAAATAAAAATAAAAATAAAAATAAAAATAAATATATTAAGCATATATTTTAAAATATAAAAATAATATATATTTAATATAATATAGTGGTAATTTTATATTATATATATATAATTTATATATAAATAATAAATTTAAAATATATTAATATTTATTTAACTTAAACTATGTTCTCTACAGACTCCATTACCGGGGTTCATGCACATTTATTAGAGTTTCTATTAAAAGATTTCTTTGCATTTAGACTTTTTTTTGCTTGGTTTATAACTTTTGACTTGTCTTCTCACCATCTTGTAGATTAAACCAATACATTTTAATTCTTCTTGTGGTTAAATAATGATAATTATAATAATAATTATAATAGTGATAATGTAATAATATATAAATATAATAATAATAAAGTATTAATAGTAATCAATATTATACCAGTTATACGATGAGATAATATGTAATATAATTATAATCAATATTATAAAATAATAATGATTGATGATTTATTATTATTATTATTATTATTATTATTATTATCCTGATTCCCAAAATCTGGGCTCGGCTTCCAGCAGGGATACAGCCAGGGATGGACCGGGACAGACTGGGATAAACTGGGATAAACTGGGATGGACTGGGACGGACTGGGATAAACTGGGACGGACTGGGATAAACTGGGATGGGCTGGGACGGACTGGGACAGACCGGCACGGCCCCGCTGACCCCGTGCCCCCACCCCGCCCCGTGCCAGCAGCGGTGCCAGCGGCGGGGACAGCGCGGGGACATCTCCCGGTGGCACCGGGCAGCCGGGCTGGCACCGGGCCCTGGGCACAGCCGGGCCCCTCCCCCAATTCCCGCATCCCGGGGGGCTCCGGGCGGGACCCCCCGGCTTGGGGAGCTTTGGGGGGTCTTGGGAGGCTTTTGGGGGGCCCCCAGGGATTGGGTGCCTTTGGGGGAACCCCCCGGGCTGGGGGGGCTTTAGGGGGGCTTTGGGGGGCTCTGGGGTGGCTTTGGGGGGGTTTTTT